AAGTGCCGGCTGTGAAAAGGGAAAGAACTATCCCAAACAAGCAAATCACAGGTAACCTATAGTTAGCAATTTTGGGAACCTTGGAAAAACTGATTAAATTAAAGCAGTCTCTAGGTAGCTTTGAGCTTGCCTGTTTACAATGTTGATTACCCCAGCACATTCTGACTTTCTTGGTTACCGGGATCATGTTTTTTCATTAAACTTATCTTTTAAGCCCAGGAGACTTTTTTCCTATAACAAGCCAATCACAGGTAACCTATAGTTAGCAATTTTGGGAACCTTGGAAAAACTGATTAAATTAAAGCAGTCTCTAGGTAGCTTTGAGCTTGCCTGTTTACAATGTTGATTACCCCAGCACATTCTGACTTTCTTGGTTACCGGGATCATGTTTTTTCATTAAACTTATCTTTTAAGCCCAGGAGACTTTTTTCCTATAACAAGCCACTTGTTTCCGTTTCTTACTCAGCAAACTAAACTAAAAATTGTCTTTGATGCAACAAAGGTGGAACGTCCTGTAATGTTAAACACCTATATGCCTTTTTTTAATGTAGAATCTGTTTATAAAACTACCTTGATGAACTAAGTCCCTCAATAAGGCCCAGTGCCATACAGTGACATATACCCAGCTCTTTCCTCTCACTAATTCTGTTTGACAGTTGACACTGACTCTCACCTGGACATGTGAGGATCCATAATGTTCAAGAGGAGAAATGTGGAGGCAGTGCAAATAACTGCATTTGCATTAGTAGGTTGCCTGAGGCAGCTCAGTCAGACATTACTCCTAGCAGCTTTGTGATTTATCCAATAGCAAAAGCTGCCTTTTTGGACTTGTCTATACTGGGATTTTTAGTAGTTTCCACACAAATTAAACAATACATTGTAAGTTATGGTATGGACAGGCTGCCAAGATTTGTTCCGGCTTATGTTTAATTATGACAGGAGCAAATTATGTTCATCCACATGAATATTTACAAAGCAATTAAAAATCCCAGTAAAGACAATCCCTTATTGGGAAGACACCATCTGAAGTACATGAGTTATTGTGATTTATAGTGTTAATTTGTACAGTCACAAAACATGGGAATCAAGCTGTTTTGAAAATCTAAATATGCCCTTAATTTAATCCAACAAATAGGTGAGGTATGTTACTTAGTCCTTTGAATACATGCTGTGCAAATGTTCTTATCTTGTTACAATATTAGGTGTGAATTGTTTGTATTTCTAATGTCATCTTGGCTTCCAAAAGCAGCTAACTTTCTCCAAATCGTTAGGGTAATAGTCCTGATCAGTCACTGACATCCCAATAGAAGGTTGCATATACCTGGTGACCTGCTGACTGCAGTGGGCCCTACAGGTGCAGTAGGCCATGCTGTAAATTGCAGGATCTGGGTCATTGGCATCCAGTATAACAGGCAGGGGAAGGCATTGCCTTCCCAAGCCATCAGCCTGGGGCAGGGAGCCAGGGAGGCTGGAGCCATGCACCCGCCCGACCTCCCCCTGCTCTGGGCTGGGGATGTGTGTCATCCTCACTCTCTGTGCTCCGGGCCGGGGAGGCTGGGGACGCGCATCCTCCTTCATCCCTGTGCTTCTGGGCAGGGGAGGCTGGGGCTGCCCACCCTCTGCCCTCCCCATGCTCCAGTTCCACCCGCCCTCCCTGTGCTCCAGAGCCGGGGAGGATGGGGTGCATGCATGCACATCCTCCTTCCCTCCCCATAGTGGAAGGGGCCTAATTTGAAGGGGTGGGGTTGGAGGCTTCTCTCCCAGCTCCACCTTCACCAACCACCCGTGATCTGGGCCTAAAACTGAAATCTTTTGGGGGCAAGTATTGTCATCTTAATGTGCATTCAGTTCCTAGCATAACAGAGCACCAGTCCTGATTGTGGCTTGTGGGTGCTACCACAATACAAATAATACATATAGTGGGTACTCATTTGAAAAGGTTTCTGTATGTTAGCCTTTTAGCAATTATGTTGTTGTTGTTTGTTGTTGTTTTTTTTTTTTTTACCAGAGATGAAGATTTTTCTGTGAGCTCTGTCCTAGCATCAGATGTAATACATGCAACCCGTAAAGACATCCCTTGTATATTCAGGGTATGACTATTTTAGTTTCCTCTTAGAGAAAAAAAAGCATGTTTAGTATTACTATTGTGTGTTCATCATTAATTGTTATCCATACTGAGGCAGTAACCAGTTACCATTAATGCAAGGAATCATTTTTATCAGTTTGCCGAAGTATATTAAATAACCAATTAAATGGAGTTTTTAAGGTGGTGAAAAGGGTTATAGTATTCTTCTTAGAGGCAAACTATGACATGCAGTTGACTTTTATTGTGTGTGCTTCTTAGTTTATTTTAAAAATAAGCAATCTTGCTTTTTCCTTTGGAATGATTAGATCCTGGCTTTCTTTTCTTTGCCATGGAGAAGTCTAACAACAATCTTAGGTATGTCTACACTAGCCCCCTAGTTCAAACTAGGGAGGCTAATGTAGGCATTCGAAGTTGCAAATGAAGCCCGGGATTTGTGGAATGAGGTGTAACAGTTAACTCGAATTAAGGACTTAGTTCGAATTAATGTTTGACTGCTGTGTGTAGCCGCGGGCAGTTCGTTCAGATTAGGGGATTTAAAAATGGCGCCCGGACGGGAAGATGCAAATAAAACCCAGGATATTTAAATCCCGGGCTTCATTTGCAACTTCGAATGCCTACATTAGCCTCCCTAGTTTGAACTAGGGGGCTAGTGTAGACATACCCTTAGGGACTTGGATGATGACATTGCAGGCTAAAACCTGAGTTAGTGGCTTGCCAGGTTTTCACTTAAAGCATCCCTTTGTCATCACTATTTCTGATTACCTAATGTAAAAACCGTATAAGAAATACTTTTGAAAAACATTTAACAATTTTTTTATCTAACCTAGAAGATCAATAAAGGGAAGAAATAACTTTCCTTGGTTCTTGGTTCAGCTTTAATGTGTTATTTGGTCATCTAAGGACTTTGTACTAAGCAGGTCATCATAATAGAATCCTAGGGCTGGAAGAGACCTCAGCCAGTCATCAAGTTCAGCCTCCTGCCCAAAACAGGACCAACCCCAACAAAATCATCCCAGCCAGGCCATTGTCAAGCCAGGACTTAGAGGATTTTAAGGATAGAGATTCCACCACCTCCCTAGGTAACCCATTCCAGTACTTTATCATCCTCCTAGTGAAATAGTTTTGCCTAATATCCAACCCAGACCTCCCCCACTGCAACTTAAGACCATTACTCCTTGTTCTGCCACCTGTCACCACTGAGAATTGCCCCTCTCCGTTGTCTTTGCAACCTCCCTTCAGGGAGTTGAAGGCTGTTGTCAAATCCCCCCCTTCTCTAGACTAAACAAGCCCAAATTTCCCAGCCTCTCCTTGTAGGTCATGTGCTCCAGCCCCCTAATAATTTTCATTGCCCTCCGCTGGACCCTCTCCAATGTATCCACATCCTTTCTGTAGTGGGGGCCTGAGAATTACACACTACTCCAGATGTGGCCTCACCAGTGATGTATAAAAGGGGAATAATCACTTCTCTTGATCTGCTGGCAATGCTCCTCTTAATGCACATTTTCACAGGCACATTGAGAATTCCCAGCTGCTCAGCACCTCTCTTGTTTGCAAGTCAAACCTTTTCTGTTGTTGACAGACAAGCCCATCCCATTGCTACATTTCAGTTGTCCTGTGCCACCAGTCCCCATGTTACCAGACCATTTACAAAGTTTGAAGAGTTTCAGGAGCCAAAGTTTGATTCTCCCTGATGTTGTGCTGCAGTTCGGACTTTCATCCCTGACCATCTTATCTCCTCCGGTGTACTGTCTGGCAATGAGGGTCTGGTACCACTACTTGTGGGGCACACAGGATCCTTCTTTTTGGCCATATTGGTCATCCTGTGATCCCTACTACTCAAAGCCATGATTCCTCCCAGGTGTCCTATCATGCCTCTCTCATTCCCCCACCAGTACCATCAGAATCTGAGAAAGAGGCAGATGTTGAACAGCAGCTGATCCGGGTATTAGCTTGGAAGAGGTTTGGGACCAACAACATTAGCTCTTGAGCATTTTTCAACCTCAGGGACTCTTCAGGGTAGCTCTACCTATTAACAAGGCCATCTTCCAACCAGCTCCAGCAGTGTGGCACACTCCTGCCTTGTGGGCCTCCAACACCTTAACAGGCAGAGAGAAAGTAGTGTGTATCTGCTGGGGGGTGTCTTTTTTTCTTCCACTCCCCCCCTCCCCCCCTTCCCCCCGCAGCTCTCTTGTCCACATGGCAACAGAATGGGCAAGCCAGCACTCTCCTAAGTCGACCCATCCAGACGGGGCAGCAAAATGCATGCCTCAGCAGCATTACAGTTCAGAATCATGAACTATCGAGATCTGCTAGCCAAGTGTTATTTCAATAACTACACTAGGCTACCAGAATTCAGGGGCAATAGTTTCAGCACCTAGTCGCTAGTGAGCTAGCTAGCCATTGATGGACCTAACCTCCATGAATCTATTAGCCAGTATGAGTAGGAATGTTATCCCTAGCCTCTGTTTCTCTGGAGATGGGTGACAGGAGAGAGATCACGTGAGGCTTACTTGTTGTGATCCCTCCCTCTGAGGTATCTGCTAATGGCCACTGTTGGCAGACAGGATACTGGGCTAGATGAACCATTGGTTTGACCCTGTATGGCCGTTCTTTTGTTCAGTGTGGGCTTTCAAGTGGCTGTAGACGTGACAGATGCACCCTCTCATTCTCTTGTGACTGGGATCGTTAGGCACTTGGATTTATGCCTCCAGTCATCCGGCTTCCTCAGGGATGTCCAAAATACAACTGAGGCACTCCCCTTTGATGTGAGCCCACTGTTCTACAGCAAAATGGACAAATCCCTTCATTTGCTGAAGGATTCCAGGGCAACTTTGCAGTCCTTTGGGATGGATACACCAGCCTCACAATTAATCAGAGACGGGGAGGGGGGGCAGAGGGAGTACTTCAAAGTTGCAGCACTGCACAACTGATCCCTGACTCAGCTGAGTGGCGCTGACCCTTTCAAACACCGCCTCAGCGTTTCAAAGCAGCAGCATCGCATAGCTGAGCTCGGGGGTTTCAAACCACCATGGAGCTTCAAAGGGGCAGCACTGCATGGAGCCCAGGGGCAGCGGAACCCCAGGATCACCTGGGGAATCCCCAGCTGACACCAGGTTCCAGGGAAATGCGACGCGGAGCCCAGGGTCAGCTGGAGAATCACCAGTTGACCCTGGGCTCTGTGTGGCATTTCAAAGCAGCAGTGCTGCATGGAACCTGGGTCAGCGGGGAACTTTGAGTCACCTGCTGGCCTTAGGCTCCATAAGGGTACTTCAGCTTTGAAATGCACAAGAGCCCCACTGGGGACTCTAGTACATTTCAAAGCCAGCACACCCATGCGCAGCCCAGAGTCTATGGGACTTCCCGCTGGCCCCAGGCTGCACATGGAGTTCCGCATTCCTCCTTTGAAATGTACAAGTGCCTGTCGAGTAGTTGGTGGAAATTCCATCAACTACTCGACTAGTAAATTACTCGATATTTAACATCCTTGCTCACAATACAGATGGAAGAGCCATTCATTCTATATGGATCCACACACTCCCTACCCAACCTACTGCCAATGCCAGCAAGGCACTAGGGATGTAAAAATTAGATTAAGGAACTAATCAGATAGTTGATGGAATTTCCATCAACTTTGATTAGTTGATTAGGACACTTCCACTTTGAAATATAGCAAGAGCCTGCCCAGCTGTTGGTACATTTCAAAAGCGGAAGTGCCATGCACAGCAGCCCCAATGCAGCCGCTGCACCCCTGCCCCCCCGCCACAGAGATGGAGCACACCTTTATCTCCCCTCCCCCCCTTGTTGCCTCTTTCAGATAGAGGCACCAAGGGGTGGGGGAAGCAACTAGTCTTTTGCTTATTAGATAGTATATTAGTCACTTACATCCCTACAAGGCACACCATTTAAGTGCCTCCACCCTCTCAATGACCATACTTGCCTGCCTCCACCTCAACAATCTCCTCAGCTCTCTCCCAGCAGCCACCAAAACCTGTTTTGACGGGGTGGTCAAGAGACACAAATATCCCCCATGCCTCTCACAGACCCTCATACTTGCCTATCCCAAAGACAGGAGGAGGGCACTTAATTGTTCTTGATCTTCAGGTGCTGAGCCTTTTTTGAAAAGCTAAAAACCCGTATAGTGGTCCTGGCATTGATAAAGCCATTCCTCTCCTAGAGAGCCTGGTATACAGCTCTTGAAAGATGCCAGCTTCCATGTGGATATCCCCCACCCACACCCACCCAAATTTCTCCATTTTCAGGTAGGACACCATCACTGCCAATTCTGAGTCCTCTCTTTTAGGTAGCAACAGCTCTGAGTGTTCACAAAGGTCTTCAACATTGTGGCTGCCCAAATGCACCTCCTCATCTATTCTGTATATTCCTGCCTAAATAACTGGCTTCCTGTGGTGCTATTGCAACAAGAAGTCATGCCCACCATCCTCACCCTTCACGTTCTCCTGGCATCTCCAGGTATTTGCAGCAATGAGGAAAAATCAGAGATGGTCCAACTTTATTGGTGCACAGCTCGAATCCAGCATGGGTGAGAGCCCTTCTTCTCTCACACAGCCATTATTACAGATGGTCCGCCATTGTGTCTCTGTCCTTGGACAACATCAGGGTAGTTGTGTACATCAACAAGCAGGGCAGTGCCAAGTCGTCTTTTGCTCCAAGTGCAACATCTGTACCTATCATCCTCAATTACCTTCTTGCTCTCAAGATTTTGGGCCTTGCCCTCCGCTGTGGTCCACGTGAGCACAGTAGTCTGCATGGCTGTGCTCAATGCCTTTTCTTCCCTCCCACCACTTCCTGTCTTATCCTTACATCCACCTCCACATTGATCATTGTTTGCAAATTGCCCTCATGTGGAATACATAGAGGGATCATTACTCAAAGGAAAGGCGGTTACTTACCAGTAACTGGAGGTTATTTGAGATGTGTGGTCTCTATTTATTTTCTGCTCCCTGACCCCCATCCTCTCTGCTGTGGACTAGGCTACACAATGTTAACAGGGCTGAAAGACACATTATGATCCTTTCAAGCAGATGCCCTAGAAAAGCAGCAGTGAGACGCATCTTTGTAATTACAGAGTAGCAGGTTTTTTGGGGAAGCTCTTCTTAATCCTCAGAGCAGGCCTCGTGAGAAGAGGGCCAACTTAGGGATGTGAACGACTAGTCAACTATCTGATAAACAAATGCTTATCGGACAGTCTCGACTAGTTGCTCCTCCGCTGCCTCTGTCAGAGACAGGAAAGGGGGAAGAAGAGGAGGGTACGTCAAAGTGGCAGCACCACATGGAGCCCGGGTCAGTTGCTCCGTGCAGCACTGCCACTTCAAATGCCGTAAGGAGCTCGGCTTCAGGCTCCTTGCGGCATTTCAAAGCATCAGTGCTGCATGGAGCCCGGGATCAGCTGACATCTCCACAGCTGACCCCAGGCTCCGTGCAGCGCTGCCACTTTGAAATGCTGTGGTGGCGTTTCAAAGTAGCAGCACCACATGGAGCCCTGGGTCAGCAGGGAAGTTCCCAGCTGACGCCAGGCTTTAGCGCTTTCGCCTTTGATAGTTACTTTTTTTTTTTCAGCTGTTTAACTAATTACGTATCCACTTAATGCTAGTTCTGTCAAACTCCGTTTCTCCAGCTTACTTACCAGAATGTTATGCGGGACTATATCAAAAACCCTGCTCAAGTCTGGATATATGTCCACTGCGTTCCCTAATCCACCAAATCAGTTACATTGCCAAAAAAGGAAATCAAGCTGCTTGGACATAATTTTGTTCACAATAAATCCATGCTCCAGGTATTTGCAAATTTAAAAAAATTATATAATATCGGAATACTTCACATACTAACAATCCAAAAGAATTTCTGACTTTTTCCCCATAACTTTTCATACAGCAATGAATTACTTATTCTGTTAGTCCAGTTGAATATATTGTAAATATACCAGTAAGCAACTAAATTGTGGAAGCTCAATATAGTACATAGCCATTTAAATGCAACTTTTTCAACGCACAAAAAGGATTCATTTTCAATAGAAATCATTTGAGAATTAAAGGTTTGTTTTTCAAGAGGAATTGTCGTATGATATTCTGATTCCAATACAGGAAAGACAAGCTTCCATTACTAGCACACCTTAAAATAGATTATTTGGGAAATAAAATGTAGACTTTTTTTGTTCATAAATCATAACTATAATCAAAATTCATTTAACTTAGCCTGAATAATTCTTGAAAGTCAAGTCCTGTTTTGTACAATATCAGGCGTGACCTCCCCTCCAAGCCACATTGACAATTTTCAGTAGTTTGAGAGCTGGGGTGCAACCGCCAAACCTTGGGATATCAGTCTTGGTTGGAATGGGCAGGGGCCACATGGACCCTCCCAGATTTTTCTTAGTTTGCTGGCCCTACTCAGTCACATGGTATGGCTGGGCTCCCTGCCTACATTACCATTGCCTCACTGGGTCCAGTAAATGGCTGGAAACTGCAGAGAGGAGTCACTGTTTTGTGCTGCTTCTCCCCACAAAGCTAAAGCAATCTCCCATCCCTGCAGCTCCCAGCTGTTGCCAGACCTGAGGAACACCTGGGAGCTGCAGAGAGAGGCTGTTGAGAGTAAGAGGAGGACGTGCCCCAGACGGGGTGACTCGAGCTGTTGGGGAGACCTTTAAATTGTGTCCCCATTCTCCCTACCCTGAAGCAAGCACCAATCATCTCTGGCAGAAGCTCTTAACACCACCTTGCCTGAGGGCAGAAGCCTCGAGCTCTCACCCCCAGTCTGGTAGGCAGACAATGGGGCAAGCTGACATTAAATGTAGAGGAGCTACTGTTTGGCTACTTCTGCCACATATACCACAGAGGTAACTGGCTCTGTGGACACGGGGAAGTCAGTGGATGTGATATACCTTGACTTTAGCAAAGCTTGGTCTCCCACAATATTCTTGCCAGCAAGTTAAGAAGTATGGATTGGATAAATGGACTGTAAGGTGGATAGAAAGCTGTCTAGATTGTTAGGCCCAACAGGTGGTGATCAATGGCTCGATGTCTGGCTGACAGTCGTTATCAAGCCGAGTGCCTCAAAGATTAGTTCTAGGGCCAGTTTTGTTCAACATTGTTATTAACAACCTGGATGAGGGGATGGACTGCGCCCTCAGCAAGTTTGCAGATGGCACTAAGTGAGGGGGAGAGGTAGATACGTTGGAGGGTAGGGTTAGGGTCCAGAGTGACCTAGACAAGTTGGAGGATTGGGCAAAAGAAATCTGATGAGGTTCAACAAGGACAAGTGTAGAGTCCTACACTTGGGACGGAAGAATCCCAAGCAGGAGCGGGGCCATAGACGAGCTGCCGGCAACTGGCGCCCTAGGGGAAGTGCGCAATCGGCGCCCCCACCTCCAAAGCCCTCAACGGCCGTTTATCTTGGCTCCTTAGGTGACCACCTAGTTCGCCTGTATTGACGGGCCGTCACTGATCCCAAGCATTGTTACAGGCAGGGACTGACCAACTAAGTAGCAGTTTAGCAGAAGAGGACCTGGGGATTACAGTGGATGAGAACCTAGATATGAGTCAACAGTATGCCCTTGTAGCCAAGAAGGCTAATTGCATATTAGGGTACTTGAGGAGGAGCATTTCCAACAGTTCTAGAGAAGTTATTCCCCTTTATTCGGCACTGGTGAGGCCACATCTGGAGTATTGTGTCCAGTTCTGGGCCTCCCCGTCCCCCCATTACAGAAACGATATAGATGCATTGGAGAGGGTCCAGCAGAGGGCAACCAACATTATTAGGGAACTGGAGTACTTGACTTATGAGGAGGGGCTGAGGAATTTGGGCTTTATTCTACAGAAGAGAAGCGTGAGGGGGGATTCAATAGCAGCCTTCCACTACATGAAGGGAGGGTTCCAAAGAGTATGGTGAAAAGCTGTTCTCAGTAGTGATAGATGATAGAATGTGGCGCAATGGTCTCAAGTTTGCAGTGGGGGGGAGAACTAGGTTGGATATAAGGAAAAACTGTTTTACTAGGAGGGTGGTGAAGCACTGGAATGGGTTACCTAGGAAAGTGGTGGAATCTCCATCCTTAGAGGTCCTGGCTGGGATGATTTAGTTCGGGTTGGCCCCACTTTGGGCAGGGGGGCTGTACTCTATGACCTCCTGAGGTCTCTTCCAGCGCTAGGATTTTATGATTCTGTAGAGACTGTGAATCATATGTGTTAATTTTGTTTTCTCTGGTTGTTAAGGTGACAGCTTCTCTCCTAGGCTTCCCTTCAAAGACCTGTTCACTACTAATCCTGACAGAAAATGAGAATGAAAAGAGAAAATGGGTTGGAATCCTGGAAGGGTTGCAATCTATCCTTCACAAAAACAGACTAAAAAACCAAGTTGTACATATTCCACAAGAAGCCTATGACAGTACACTGCCTCTTATTAAAACAAGTTTAGCTGCTGCAATTGTAGGTATGTCCACTTTAACCTTACATTTAACTGTATGCATTATTTCAACTTTAAGATGAACTACAATACTGAATGTGCCAGCTTCTTAAATTCCTCAGCTGAATCTCTTACCATAGAAGTTTGATGGTGTGAAAAATCTGAGGAAGTGAGTTGTGTCTCACGAAAGCTTATTCCTTAATATATTTGTTAAACTTTAAGGTACCCCATGACTCCTTTTTATTGAAGATGCTAATAAATCTTTTCCCTTCAAAATACTGTTTGCCGAAAGAAGTACTTATATAATTTCACTACACCAAAGTTTTAAAACCATTTTGTTGTACTTACTACTTTGCTTATTTCCTTGAGCAAAATAGTTAACACATTGTGTTTATCCAAAATAAAGTATAAAAAGATAAAAAGTCTAGTTTTAAAGTTAACATTATACATAATTGGATTCATAGCTCTCTTTTTCCTTTCTGTCTTGTCTAGATCGAGAGAGAATAGCAGTTGGTTCAGAAGAAGGACTGTATGTGGTAGAGGTGACCCGTGATGGTAAGTTAGAGCTCTCTACGTACAATAATTGCATAATGAATAATGGTCCCCATACATTTTAGTAGTGTTTTAATATAGATTAAACAATAGCCATTTATGTATAGTTTATACCAACATACATTTATCATCAGTTAACTGCAAATTTAGATGTGAGGTGTAAACATTAATTGAGTCATTACCATTATACTTAGCTGGCTGCCTGAAATTAAGGGGCCTACCCACAGGGTGTTGCGAGTAACACAAATCTCATCTCAGTGCTCCAGGATTCAGAGCACACAGCACCTGCACTTTGTGCATTGAATAGCCAGGCACTTATTGAAGAAAAATACAGGATTTATTTAGAATGAACTGAGACACAAAAACAGTAAGTTCAGTAAATTAACCTAGAAACTGATTTGTTCCAACCTGCACTGTCATATAATTCAGACTGGCATATAACACGATGTTAGGAGGCTGTTGTCTATATTTTTGCTAGCATTTTGAGTACAGTTATTATATTTGCAAGGCTTCCTGTTCTTAATGTCCTTTGCATTTTCTTCCATTTTTTTTCTGACTCTCAATAAAAGAAATTTGATTGCTGCTGCCATTGATTTTAACATTCCAGTCTATGATGGTGGCTGGTGTTGAATTTATAGTTGTTGGATCTTCCTTGCCTACTGTTCTTGTCTTCCTCTCCTTCCCTGCCCTAAGGTTCCCCTAAGATTCCTACTCCAAGCCCCTCTCTGCTACTCCTTCTGCTTCTCATTCTAAGGGCTGGTCTCCATTTGCCTCCTTCAGTGAAAAACTGCACAGTCTTACTCCATGCATTGTTGGGATTTAGCCCTTAATTACCAGCTATCACATCTAGTATATCAAGGAAGTGGAGGAGTTTCTCCCTGCAACCTGATTTTTCAATAGTCAAATGTAAAGGGGGAAACTGTACCTTCGTATAGCTAGGAAGGCAAATGAATTGAAAGAGTTATTAATGGAAATGAATGTGGTGACTTCTCAATGGTAAGCAATCCTAATAGCTGACCCCTTTTCAGTAAAACTGCAAAACACAAATAGTTCATGGCAGGATTAATTTACCTCATTATTCTGTAAGGCATTGCAAGTGATGTCTTTGCTCAGAACAGATTAATTGATTGAATTATATGTGTTTAAAACAAAATATGCTTCTGGTGAGGGATACCTGCTAACAAGTAGTTTACTGCCACTAGCATTTTATACAACACCAAGCAATTTTTAGACCCTTTTATTTTCTGTGGCATTACATCTGGTACAAGACTGATATCACCTACCTTTCTAGTAGGCAAGTATAACATCTGTTGTTTGTAGCCCAGTAAAATCTTACAGCCTTAACTATATCATAGGTCTTTATATGTAATTTCACAAAAGTAACTCACCACCTCTTAAAGCCTGTTGGTTAAAAACTATGGAGGAATAAAGTGAAGTTGGAAACCATAATATGCAGTTAGGCGGATTTAAGATTCATGGGCACACAATATGTTTTGAAAAATGTAAATGCTGGGATTTGCCAGAGTAGTGTCCTGACACTCCCAGAGACAAAGGTCTTTAATTTTATACTACTTTAATTCCAGTGTCAAGATGTAGGTCACCAATGTTAATGTCATACATTAAGTGAACTTCTTAAATCCCTCTGGCAATCCATAATCTAATTTCCTCCTTTTAATATAACATAATCTGTAAATTATTTAATACTCAGTTTGGAGTATTGGAAAAATTATGCTGTAACAAAAAATATAGTGATAAATACAAAATATAAAGTACATTATTTCTTGATTCATTTATTTTTATTTGGCTTAAACTAATTGAATAGAAAGGCATTGAATAAAATCAACTGCCAGAGATGTATTATAGGGAAGTACCAGCATACTACATAAACTGTGGAATTGTGTAAAATGTTTGTTTTTAAAAGGAAAAGGGGAAAATATACTGTTTATTCTAGCTCTATCTCCAGAACATGGTGGTTCTACTTGTAAAAAGAAATGCCTGAGCATTCTTTGTTCCTTTGCAATTTTATATATTCATAATGACAGAACTGGGCTCCGAGGCAGAGGGGACCTGGGGTGGAGGTAGGTCAGGCTCAGATGGAGGTTGTGTGTGTGTGGGAGGGAGGGGGGAGATCAGGCTCAGATGGCGGAGGGGAATCGGCGTGGCCCGGAGGGGAGCGGTGGGGACCCAGTACAGGCTGGGGGAGGGATTGGGCTCAGATGGTGGAGGGGACTCAGCCCCAGCAGCTCCTGCCCAGTGGTCCAACCCCCAAAGGCGTGAAGCGTGAGCTGGAGCAGCCCATTCTCGGAGTGCATAGCGCCAAGCTCGGCCACAGCAAGCAGCAGAGGTGGGCGGTGGTGGCAGCATGAGGACACAGATGACATGATGATATCACTCTGTCATCCCCAGGAAATTTTTATTTATATATAGAGAGAGGGGGGAAAAAAAAGATTATGTATGCATGCTATGGCAAATTCCTGGATTTTACTGAAGTGTTTTCATAAGTAGTAATCTTCTCATCTTTTCCCCTCCCCCCGGCAGCTGTTACTTTTAATATGAGTTGATTGACATCTGCTTATATGAGTGGTTCTCAAAGTGTGGTCCGCGGACCACTAGTGATCTGCAGCCGCCTCCCAGGTGGTCCACAGCTCGAGAGAGAATCCCTGCAGCAGGGAGCATGCTGGCACTCTAGCCTCGTGTCTGCCAAGTCCCAACCCCACCAGACTGGCTCAAAAGAGACAGAGCAGAGCCACACTGTCTTCCTTGCCTCCCTCCTGCCTGGCTCAGCTCGGGGAATGGCAGCATAATCAAAGGCTTTTCCTACGGGGGGGAGGGGGAAGAAAACCCAGCACAGCTATATAATTAAGGGCTTTTTCCGCAGGGGAGGGAGTGTGAAGAGAGAGCCGAACAAGCGACTCTACACTGTGTTTCTCACCTCCCTCCCACCCAGATTGCTGGGGGAACACCAGCGTAATAACATGCTTTCTCTGTCACGCTCATTGGCTAGAGTTGCAGCCAATGGGCTCAGCAGGAGACCATATTGGGACCCATGAGGGCGTGGAGCCAGGTAAGCAGCTCCCCTCATGCCCAGACCCTGCACCCCACTCCCTCTTACTCCCCCCCCCCCCACCCACCCACCACCACAGGCAAAAGATACTCTGTGGGCAGTACAGCCTGCAAGAACCTCAGGTGGTCCCTCGCTCAGCACTCAGGAAAGCTGGCTGCAGAGTCGTTTGTGTTTGTGAATGCTGAGAGCCTGGAAGGAGGGATGACAGGCTTCTCATGCTGCCCTCGCCCCCAGTATCTTCCATTGATCGGTTTTGGCCAATAGCAGCTGCCTGTTTGCAGGATAGGCAATGTGAAAAGTGCCCCTCATCTCATTTCCCCCCCGCTTTACAGCATTCAAGTCAAAGCGGTAAACATGGCTCCTGCAGCTCCCCTGAGCACATACACAGGCTGGAAGGCAGACACACTAGCAAAGGAACCTGCTGGGCTGCCAGGCAAGGTCTCCCAGCCAGAGTAAGCCCCTCCCTTCCTCAAACCTCTAAGCCCCCTCCCCCCCCAACTTCATGTAATCCAAGTCTTCTGCACCCTTGCTCCAGCCCCCATAGACTGGGGATTCCCAAACTTTTTGACACGGGACCAGTAAATCCATTCACGATCTTTTGGAGGACCAGTAACATTCATTTGCATATTTGCATATTCATTAAGCAAATGATGAATATTCAGATAAGTTGTTTATGGTCCTCCCAAAGCCCCCAGTGCCGCATTAGCAAAGCTTTTGATAGTGTCACCCACAATATTCTTGCCAGCAAGTTAAGGGAATATGAATTGGATAAATGGACAGTAAGATGGATAGAAAGCTGGCTAGACCAGGGTTTCCCGAACTTTTTACTTTAGTTGGAACCCGTTTTTTTTTCCAGTACTGTCTTTTGCAGCCTAAAAATATAAACGCATATAAAAAAAGAATGAAAAAATCATACATTTTCAGTGTTTCACCTGGCTGCATCCTCCACCCAGCCTGGGCCAGTGCTTGGGGGACCCAGCGCCACATGGGCACTCCAGGAGGCAGAAGCAGGAGTAGATTGGGGGTAGGGTACCTGGCTACGAGGGAGGGTGCAAGAAAGGGTAGGGTTGCCAGGTGTCCGGTTTTGTACAGTCTAATATTTGAGGGTTTTGTCCGGGAAACAAATTGAGAAATTATCACATATAAAATGCCTGGTATTTTCTAATTAGGTAAGTTTTATTATAATTAGGTGTATCAGTCCTTAGCTGGGAACTGCCTGGCTGGTAGATGTGCTCACACTGCCTGAGTGTGTCTACCTGCCAGACAGTTCGCAACTACTCGAGGGAGGGGATGAAGGGAAATGGAATCCATGGCTGGACTCACTCATCTGCAGGGTCTGCATGTGCCTGGGTCAGTCCTGCTCCCCCCCCTTCTCCTCCTGATCTCCCCAGTCCAGCCCTGCTGCCCCCATCCAGCCCTGCTTCCAGCAGCCAGTTCCCCCCGCCACCCACCAATCTGCCCCAGTCAGCCTTGCTCCCCTGATGATCCTCCCCACAACCAGCCCCGCTGCCTTCGTCCAGCCCTGCTTCCGGCAGCTGATTCTCCCGTCCTCCTCCTCCTGATCTCCCCCAGCCAGTCCCCCTCCCGCCGTGCAGCCCTGGTTCCGCCGCCTGCCCTCTCGCATCTCCGCCGCCGAACAGCCCCATTACCCCCAACCCTGCTTTCGCTGCCCACCCTCCCGGATCTCTGCGGAACAGACCCACCGCTCCCAGCCCTGCTGTGGCCCCCTGCCC